TCGTCAAAAACGTTCCGCATCACGTCTCTCAAAGCTACCCATGTAGCTCTTCAGTTTAATTAATACTCCTAAAACATTATTTACTGCCTAAAAACGACAATAAACCAATAATAATTCGAAAATTCCAGAATATTTATACGCTTTTTGTTAATTTTATTAGCATGTCAAGTCAATTATAATTACATAAATTCTTCCTTGCTTTAGAAGATACTGGCTAACCTTTATTTAAATAAATAGAAACACTACCAATACTATTGAATTACTATTATTTCCGTTAACTATTACTGCGGGGTTAGACAAGATAATAATTTGCTTCAATTGTTAACGCTATAGAAATCTGTAAAAATGAATTCTATACAACACTTCTTGCACAATATTGCAGTACACCATTACATATTTCGTCGTATACATGTTTCCTTAGTTCCTCGTTGGTCTATTGGTTGTAGTAGTGCGACTGCTGATCATAAGGTCTTGGATTCGAATTTCAGATCGGTCCAAAAAAAAACCCGGAGTCAGGAAGTAGGCGGTGTCTAAGCCCCGTGCCTCGAAAAACACGTAAAGCCGTTGGACCTGCACCTGATCTCTCTCCAGTCGTGTCGGTTTACCGTCCCATTTGATTATGAGAATGAGGGAATAGAGAGTGCACCTGTGCTTGCGCATAGACTTGGGCACTATAATCCTGTCCTACGCCGATCGCTAGTCTCCGTTAAGGCTGGCCGCCGTGACTGAAATTCGGTCTGGAGGACATACTTCGTCACGCCACAGCATGCCTTGCTACAAAAACAACACCAGACTACACCATACCATACTCTTACAATTAATACTTATCAAAAAACGTCATGTTATCCAATAAATAGCGGTATACCATTACATACATAAATACTTCCAAACTGCCATACATTTAGTATTATTATAACCTGTCCTGCGTAGTGATTATTATAAATTCTTCTTGCAATAAAGGCAGTTAGGGCAATGATTAAGATATTGGCTAAGACGCTGCTGGTCATCTATTTGGAACTGGAACGGAACAAATCTGTATGGCGAACATATAGTTTCCCTGCGTTGTGTTTTTGTAATACTCCAATGGGAATAATATTTCTGTTCTGTCTGAAAAACATGAAAAAGACGATGAAAAGTGGCAGGGCTCTGGTGAAGCCATGGAATTTTTAGAGTGGGAACAGAAAAATAAATGTAAATATTTGATAATTCATAACTTAAACTTGTGATTAATGTTACTTGGTTAAACAAGACAAGTATATATACAAAGAAAAATTGAAAATTGAGTTTCATATTATTTTTATACTATAATAAGTCAGTACTTGATTACGATCTCACATGATGATGAGTGGTAATGTAGCCGTAGATGTTAAAGGTAATTGACAAAGTTGCCAAATTACACTACTCTATTGTTGAAAGCATTATGAAACAAAACACTTATGTAGTTTGAATACGTTTCAAATTTTAACCCTTTTGTATTGTAGTATAACGATACCAAAGGGTTAAAATTTGGTTAAAATATGGCCGTGTGTCTGGTGGTCTAAGAGAGAAGAACTAAATCATTCAACTTGCATTATAAGGTTAAACTTTGCTAACATATTTCTTTTTACTATTCTAAGTTAGCGCTTGACTACTATCCTACCTGATAGTAAGTGGTGATGCAGCCGAAGATAGTGAGGTGCACTGACTTATCAAAGCGTATTCACTCTTGCCTTGAAGACACAAGCATTGTAATCGGATGGAAAGACAGATGCTGGCAACTTGTTCCACTCCTGATGTTTTGTCTAAATTTATAAGGAAGAGTTGCGTTATTCAGTGTTAAATAACGCACTATCGCTTCGGACCATCGTCTAAGCGATATTTATCCTAAAAGTTCCTCGTCCTGAACAAACAAACACAGTTACGTAGTTAAAAACGTTTATTAAGTGGACATCAAAATGCAAACAAATTAGATAGTATCCTATATTATACTATATCATATATTAAACAGAATATGATAATAATGTGCTCCAGGTCAAATTTCGGTCACGGTAGCCTTTCTCAAAAATTACTAGCCTAATTTTATATATGTTATGTATGTAAAACAAGTATACATAGTATATATACCAATTGGGAACGTTTTATATCGTAAAAAAAAAACGTACAAATAAAACTTACAACTATTATAGGTAAAGAAAAGAAAGTACTTCGACACATACATTTTATTAGCCTCGTTTCTCTCTTGGCAAAGACCTTACACCCCACTTTTACAATCCTCTCGATTTTGTTCGCAAACGAATGCATAGGCGTGCTTTGCATAACTTACGAGTTGGCTTATCAAGATCCAAAACACAAAAGCGAAAAAAAAATTGTACATAAATACCTTTTTTTTCTAATTTGACTTATACATATATAAATAATTTGAACACAGATTCAACAGTGCCAAATAAATAGATTTAAAAATCTAAATGACTAACTAACAAGAAATGTGAATTTTACTGTTAAAAATAATCTGATGATAAAAATCAACAATATGGAAAAGAAATAAAGAATACGTCAGATAGAAGTATATAAAATTTCTTTCACTTTTTCATATTTTCAACTTTTGTAAGTTGCAACTACATTACATCTGCGAGTGGACTCGTTTGTCACTTTTATTACTTATATATTGTTAATTAAAAAATATTGCAGTGCTCCTTATATTATATTATTTACCTTTTGGTTTTAGCTTGTTGCGTACCCAAATTATATACTGTAAAATTAAAATTATAAGAAAATATCTAATGATGAAATTATGTAAAACAAATTAATTTTATGCAAGCACTGTCCATATTTTATTTCATAAGTGTTAAAAAGCTTTAAATATTACTGACGACACTGTAACTATGATGGATATGTCGTGTCAGTTTTGATTTATAACGTCGTCAAATTGAGCTTAACGATTCATCACGAGCTTGTCTTGCACAAGGTGTTACAAAGTATCAAATATTAATTTGTAGGTGCTTTAAAATGTTACTAATTAAAAGGATACTTTGTTACAGTGGCTTATGTTGACTCGGAACGGTTTTGTTGCTGCATCCCGATATATTCTTTATCATCTCTTAGTTTTTGTCTTGGATATTTTGTGCCGCATTAAAAAAGTAAAGTTACAGCCTATATACGTCCCACTGCTGGGCACAGGCCTCCCCTCATTTCTGAGAGGGTTTTAGGGCAAGGAAGTGTCCGCCGCGCTGCCCCAATGCGTGTTGGAGAACTTCACATGTCTTCGAATTTTTTTCTTATTTCTCAGACATACAGGTTTCCTCACGATGTTTTCCTTCACCGCCGAGCACGTGATAAATCAGCACATAAAATTGGAATTAACAATTTCATTGGTGCCGGCGGGGATCGAACCCGGTTTGCTCGCGTACTGTGAAATTTACAGCGAGCGCTAACCATCTGAGCTACCTAGGCTCTAAATGTGCTGCATTAAATAAAAATAATATTTTAAACAATTTAAAATTAATTTAAAATGTAACGTTAGACATTGATAATTATTAGCACGGTCTCTAGCTCCATTCTTATAAATATGAAGGATAAGAGATTTTTTGAAAGCAGAAGGAAATATGCTATTTTTATAGCTAGATTAGAGACATGTTTGACAGGAGGTGCTATTATATGCCTATATAATTGTAATATGTTAGCACTGATATCATCTCACCCATTAACATCGCTTTTTAGTGACATAATTAACCTTTTGACTTCCGTTATGATATGTTCTGTTCTGTTCTGAACAGCAAGTATTGTTACTAAAGATTTCGAAATTATTTACAATTTTGTCAAACCACGAAGCTTTGCCTTTTGACCTTGTACTTTGAGCATATGCTCAGCAATCTTTCGGATTGGGGTGAGTGTATTGGGTAGCACTTTTAAGTTTAACAAGCAAACTCAACTCCAAGTGATAGTGTCATAGCGCCATGATATGTGGATTGTTTGCTACTCTCTTAGTAGCGTGCTACTATGATAAATTGGTATTATTTTTAGATAACAACAATACACATTTTGTAACCAAAGTCAACAGGGATCATGTGGGTGTGTTGTGAGGGAGCGCCATCCGTATGATAGTTGGATTGATGATTACTGCTCCTTACGGTATTGTGTCTTGTGATGTATCTGCGGGTATGCAGTGCCTGATTCGACGCATGTTGTGGTTATGGTCAATTAAGGTATGTGATTGGTGATGTCTGCTGGGATTTTGTGAGGTCCCTTGGGATGGTGGAAGCTGAAGAAATTCGTATTGATGCTTGGTGTGTTCTGCAGCAGTGTTTGTGATAGTTATTTCACGGGTCACTATTCTCAATGGCGCTCTCTGCGCCTTGATTTGACTCACACTTAAGTTGCTTTGTCTAAGTCAGGACCCTTCATTATGGGGCTACAGGCTATCTATTCTCCATGATGTTTTAACCCTTCAATCCCCTTAAATTTGCCATGCCGGCATGCGTCCGTCAAATTCCGAGTGGTTGCATGCGACCGCACCCACCCACAGCACTTTAAACCATTAAAACTTATTTAGAGATGTAATAATGCAGCACCAATACGAATGATGCACCCGCAACTTCACTCCGAACGCCCCCGAATTCTTACGAAAACTATTGAAGGTAGCTAACGAAACTAGCAGCGTCTCGGCCGGCTAAAGGTCATTCGATTGCTAGAAAAGTCAAAGTGTGATAGCCCCGCAGTCCGCTCTGATTCGTAGGCTTCTCCTGTTCGACAGCCACGTAAGTCTTCAGGAGAGAGTGCAAAGAGATCTAGGAAGCGATAGTCCTCTTTAAGTCCTTAAGTAGGGTTGACAAGATAATGATTATGTATGTAATTAAAAGTGTACGCAATAAACTAACGTAAATACTAAGAGGCCTTTAATTTTTACACTTGCAACCCTACATTGGCCCAACACTCAACTACCCACTATTTGTGAATAATGTTTGCTAGAATCAAACTACCTACATAAAATGACAGAAGAAGAACATAAATCTAAACTGGTCATTATGTCAAAAGACCAGTTTTCTTCATTACTGCAAAAGATTAGGGACGCGCATTCCCACAATAAATGCAATATGAATACTAAAAGTTTTGCTCAGTGCATATCAAGATATGGAGGAGAACGAGACCATAACAAGGTTCAGGAATTCATAACTAATATAACCATCTACAAAAAAGTTGAAAATATATCGGATGACGACGCGTTAAAGGGTCTACCTATATTACTGACTGGAGTGACTGATACGTGGTGGGATAGAGTCAAAAACGACATAAAAATGGAATCACGCTTCGGAAGCCTTAAAATTGGCGTTTGCCCCAAAACGTTAGCCTCATGAAATATATATGACGTTATTTGGAAAGAAACAAAATACCCAGCCCATAGACAGTTTCATTATTGAGAAATACGCCCTATTCGCACAATTGCCACCTGAGCAACATAAGGAAGAAGAACAATTAAACCTTTTGTACGGCTTGTTATATATCAAGTATCGGAAACATCTTCCCAGAACCAACATGAAAACTGAATGAAAAATGCCGTCATTTAAAAAGCCTCGAAAAAGAACGCGGTGTACCTACTACCTACCAACCAACGAAAGTTTTTAGATTTTGTGGGAAAAAAATCACCTCTTTGAAGAGTGATACAAACAATTGGCAATTGATAAAGATAAGCAAACTATTAGCTTTTATGATGCCCAGTGTGTTCAAAAGCAACTGCAATATCTGCAAAAACAAGGAAACACTGCCTAAACCGGTCGCTTTATACACCATGCAAACAAGCACCTACACTCTCACCCGGACAGATATCAGATTTCCGTCCCTTTACGCTCCTCGGACCATTGTCTTGTCCGGAGTGTGGTGCCACTCACGCTGAAATCGCAGTTGCATTCTGCAGGCTGCCGCCGAGTTTGGCACTATAGATCAGCTGATTGGAATGAGATGCGGTCTTTTTTTGCATCCTATCCTTGGGGGCGGCTTTGTTTCTCACCGGATGATCCCAACGTTGTTGCGGATTCTGTCACTGATGTGGTACTTCAGGGTATGGAACTTTTTTATTCCTTCCTCTGTGGTGCCCATTGGAGGCAAATCTCAGCCATGATTTGGTCGCTCCTGTAAAATCGCATCACGCTATAAGCAGGAGTGCTACCAAACCTGGGCTGACGCATCAACGTCCCGGGATGTAAACACCAGCGCTATAAAAAAGAAGTACAATTCCGCCTCTAGTTCCTTCAAAAGAGTCATTGCCAACGCAAAGTCAGAGCACATAGGCAGAATTCTTCTGGAACCCGTGCGTTCTGGTCTCTCGCCAAGGCTGTCCAGGGGAATTTCTGTCAGCCATCTATTCCATCTCTGCACAGGGAGGACGACTCACTGGCCCATACCGCAAAGGAGAGAGCCAATCTGCTAGGCTCTTTCTTTGCGTCCAACTCGACTCTCGATGACCATCCCGTGGTGTGAGTGCTCCATGCCGGAAGTGCAGTTAACAGAGCGCTCGGTTCGCAAAGCACTCCTCTCCCTGGACATCCACAAGTCGAGTGGGCCTGACGGAATCCCCCAAATGTGTTGAGGACGTGTGCTCCAGAGTTGGCACTGTTTTGACGAGTCTTTTCCGGTACTCCTACTCCCGACGCGTAGTCCCAAATTCATTGAAGACGGATTTCGTCCACCCGATCCCTAAAAAAGGCGACCGCTCAGACCCGTCCAACTACCAGCCTATCGCCATCACCTCCTTGTTCTCCAAAACAATGGAGTCTATTGTTAACTGCCTGCTCATGAGGTACCTTGAGGATCACCAGCTGATTAGTGATTGCCAATACGGTTTTCGCTGTGGTCGATCAGCTCGTGATCTTCTGGTCTACCTAACTGACAGATGGGTGGAGGCAGTAGAGTCCAAAGTGGAGGCATTGGCCGTTAGTTTGGCCATTGTGAAGGCCTTCGATCGGGATTGGCGCAAAGCGTTTCTTTCGAAGATTCCTTCTTATGAGCTTCCCGAGAAATTGTGCGATTGGATCACCAGCTTTCTTGCAGATCGGAGCATCAAGGTCGTTGTAGACGGTGCAAGCTCCGATTGCAAGCCTATTAATGCTGGTGTTCCACAAAGCTGCGTGCTATTACAAACGCTGTTTCTTCTGCATATCAACGATATGTTGCAAACCCGTAACATTCATTGATATGCAGATGACAGCACTGGTGATACTCTTTACACCGGCCGTGCCAATATTTCTCGAAAAAACGTCTCCGAGTAACGGGACAAACTTGTGTCTGAAGTTGAGTCTTTGCTGAACAGAGTCTCGGAATTCGGGGCGACTAAATCTAGTCCAGTTTAACCCCGAGAGGACAAAAGTTTGCGCGTTAACTGCTAAAAAGGACCCATTTGTCGTATCTCCTCAGTTTCGAGGCACTACCCTTGTTGCCTCAGCCAGTATCGGAATTCTCGGCGTCGACATATCGAGTTACGTACAGATTCGTGGTCACTTGGAAGAGAAGGCCAAATTGGCCTCTAAAAAGCTTGGCGTGCTCTGCAGAGCGGGACAGTATTTCATGTCGGCACACCGCCTGCAACTTTACAAGGCGCACGTTCGGCCGCACATGGAATACTGTTCCCATCTCTGGGCTGGAGCTCCCCTGTACCAGCTCCTTCCACTTGAGCGCAGAGCAGTTCGAATCGTTGACGACCGAGTGCTTACCGATCGATTCACTGGCGCTGCGAAGAGATGTTGCACCTCTTAGCATTTTCTTTCGCATATACAGTGGGGAGAGCTCCGAGGAATTGCTCGGATTAATCCCAGCAGCGGAATTTCTATAAATTGCAGACTTCCCGGAACGTTGATGCTTCACCGCGTAAAAGAACATATAGCTGATGTGAAGCATCAACGTTCCGGGAAGTCTGCAATTTGCGATCATATCCTAGACGGCCCCAATCATCACATCAGATTTGATAGACCACAAATCCTCGCGAAAGAACACCGATTCCTACCAAGGATGATACGTGAGGCTATTGAAATTAAAAAAAACATCCTAATTTCAATAGAGAAGTAGGCTGGATACTACCACCTGCTTGGGATCCTATAATCAATAAAATTAAAACTAAACCCAAGCATACCACTGCAAGACCTCGGGACATAATCAGTTTATTTTGCATAGATCGGACCATAAACATAAATTAAAAAAGCTTAAGGTACTCCGGGTTTAACAATGACATTGTGACGTCAATCATCTCAGTCCCCTGTGACCATGGGTGCTGGAAATCGCCCGAAACGTCGGGAATAAAAAATAATAGTAAAATAAACGCGATAAAATCCGTAAAAGTAGCTTTAATCAATGTGTAGTGTTCGCGTAAATATAAGAAATCATTCCGTAAATAATAGTTTTATTCAATGTGTATTGTTCGCGTACATTTAAGAAATCATCAGGTTCATCATTTTTATCATCCTTACAGCCCTTCACACGTCCACTGCTGAATATAGGCCTCCCTCAAGTAATGCCACAAAGCACGGTCCTGAGCCACCTGTAATCATCGAATTCTTGCATGTCTTTCCATGTCATCACTCCATCTAGTGGGGGTAGCCCTACGCTACGCCTACCGGTACGAAGCTGCAACTCCAGAACCTTTGTTCCGCATCGGTTATCGGTTCTTCGAGCTATATGGCCGGCCCATTGCCACTTCAGCTTACTAATACTTTGGACTATGTCGATCACTCTGGTTTTACTGCGGATAAGCTCATTTCTGAGTCTATCACGTAGAGAAACTCCGAGCATAGCATCTCCATAGCTCGCTGAGTGACCTTGAGCGTCTTCATAAGGCCAGCAGTGAAAGACCACGTCTCAGATCTGTAAGCCATCACTGGCAACACGCACTGGTAGTACAATCTAGTTTTCAGAATTTGAGGTATACCCGACGAGAAGATGTGTCGTAATTTCCCGAACGCTGCCTAGCCGAGTTGAATCCGTCGATTGACCTCTCGGTCGAAGTTGGACTTACCTAGTCGGACTTTTTGTCCCAGGCAAACGTACTTGTCACTAACTTCGAGCATGGTGCTCCAACAACTACCGGCATACGGTATGACATGGACATTTAACACCAATCAGGTTACTGACAAATTTTAGTACATTTAAAAGATTAAAACGTTTTTTTTTCCGGGTAGATGTGAGAAAAGTAACAACTAAATTTTGTGCATCTCTGTAGTTTTATTTATTTATTTTTATTATTCATTGTGTACAGCATTTAATATTTGTTAAGTATCAATTAAAATATCATATATGCAATAAATTAAATACCACTTTCCACCACTTCCACTACCACTTATCTTACAAACTTCAAGTTTATTACAATACTTAAAGAACATCTCAGTATGGAAAACATATTTGAAGTCGTTTGAAGAGTTAGGCCTGAAAGACCTAAGTTCTGACCACATCAACTTTAAGAATTTTGTTTATTTAACATTAATATTACTGCAGCAGCAAATCAATCATCTAATTGTTAATGTGGATCCCATTGAAAGTAGACACAGAAAGAAGATACTGCTGCTAGGAGGAGTGGTCGAGAATACCAATGAGAATGTATGCGAATTGGTAGCTTCAGTCATCACGAAGAATCTTGGTATCAATTTGTTCTGGTCAGTCGCTGCAGGTATGTCATCGTCTTGGCACAATATCTAATGGCCGCCATCGCAATCGTCCAAATCTCATAAAATTTGAAGACACTCCATTATGTCAGGAGGTATGGGCCAAGAATGCTTTGATCAAGGGTAGCCCATATGTGTTGTAGGAATATCTAACACGAATGAGACAGTCTTCATTCTTAGAGGCCCGCAGGCACTTCGGTATTAGAAATGTGTGGACCATGGATGGGGTGATAAAATAATGTCAAGCATCCTACTGGACCCTGTTCCAAAGTGTTTACAACAAATGGTCTAGAGAAGCTGACAACCCAACACAAAGCACACGTAGAACGTAATAACTCGCTTCCAGCATCAGACGTCATTTCGAAAAAGGAGGATCTAAATCCAGGACAACAACTACTTCAAAACCTGCGATCAGTATAAAGTTTTGATCCATCGTAGCTGTTTCCTAGTCCGTACATAATTGCATCGCACCTTATTCTTTACTGTCACTTACTTTATTCTTGCTGTATTTATAATTTTTCGATTTCATTTTATGATTTCAGTGTTGACAGTAAGCTTTAATTTTACGTTCATCGTACGAAATTATATTGTAGTCTTTGGTACGAAATAGGCTTAACAATTTATGTTAAAGTCAAACTTCAATATCATACAATTATTTTATTAAGATATTGGCCTGGATTCTTGGCTCTTAAGCCATGACTTTATTTCATTTG